CTGGCCCCTATTGGCCAGGAAAGATGACAGGCAGCCACTGGGAGCTGCGAGCGACCATGCCTGTGGAAACTCAGGCAAACCAAACGTGTTGGACTGCCAGTGGCTAACCCTGAGGAGCAGCGTATGGCTGGCATGCCGGAGGTTTCCCAGCCTTGATGTTGATGATATGCTGGGAGTAGGGGTAGGAAAAGTGCTGGCTGGCACAGCTGCAGAGATTTGGAGCAGTTGTCCGTTGTGCTGCTGTAGGGCTGCCAACGTTCCCAACTGGACGCCACTGCTGCAAATGATGTCCAGTCCATACAGTCAGGAAAGTCGACAACTCTACCACCTGGAGAGTCTAGGGATTTTACCCATGAAAGCTCATGGCCTCATGTGTTAGTCCCTAAGGTGCCACAGGCCTGCTCATTGGGGTAATTTAGGTAGGACTCCAGACCTGTCTAAATTAGGCCAGGCACCTGTCCGTCACCTGAAGCCGCCCTGAATTAGGACACAAAGTAACTCTCAGCCCCCAAGCATTCTGCACTGTGCCGTAATTCCAGTGGAATCATGGGCCGAATTCTGGAGATTTTCTCATTTTTTTTAATTTCAGTGGGGAGTTGGTCCGGAGGAAGAATTGAGTAGGACCTTCAGATTTACTTCTGTTCATTTGCCTCTCCAGCAGAAAGAGTCACATTAACTTCAGTGGGAGCTGGCCGAGGGCTTGTCGTCATTCTGTATGAAAAATTATTTTTTTATTGCCGTTGATAATGACCTAGAAAGTTATTTCTGCAGTTTGGTGTATCACATTCTTCTGAGAAACTGACATTGGCTGAAAACCACCTTTTTCACACCATTTTTCTGATATTGAATTAATGCTTTGCAAAGCGACTGTGGGGTATCAAACATTCCCTCTAATTAGACTCATTAGTGGCTTCTCCAGGACAAGTAAGTTTCAATTAAGTTGCACAATGTAAATCAATAGTCATCCTCCCTCCACTGCAATTTACAAGACTATACCGTTCTGAACAATTTAATTATAGCAATTGTGGTAGCGGGAATTATTGGTGATTCTGCCATTTTGTTTCAACAGTCCTGTTAGACAGTTTGCAATCATAAAATGGGCAGAGTGACTTAAAATGTTGGGATTTGCGTGTGTTCTTTGTGTATGAAGAATGCAGAAGCTGCGCCATTGTACAACAGTACCCGGGTACTGAACTTTCTGTTCCAAGTATATCTTGCTTCCACTGAGGTCAATGGGAGGAACAATCAGCTTCACACATACAAAATGGGAAGCGACTGTCTAGGGAGGAGTACTGCAGACAGGGATCTAGGAGTCATAGGGGACCACAAGCTAAATATGAGTCAACAGTGTGACGCTGATGGAAAAAAAGCAAACATGATTCTGGGATGCATTAACAAGACACGAGAAGTCATTCTGCCACTCTGCTCTGTGCTGATTAGGCCTCAGTTGGAGTCTTGTGTCCAGTTCTGGGCCCCGCATTTCAAGAAAGACGTGGCGAAATTGGAGAGGGTCCAAAGAAGAGCAACAAAAATGATTAAAGGTCTAGAAAAATGTGACCTCTGAGGGAAGACTGATAGAATTGTGTTTGTTTAGTTTGAAAAGGAGAAGACTGAGAGGTGACATGATAGCAGTTTTCAAGTACCTAAATGGGTGTTACAAGGAGGAGGGAGAAAAATTGTTTTCCTTAACATCTGAGGTTAGGACAAGAAGCAATGGGTTTAAACTGCAGCAAGGGAGGTTTAGGCTGGACATTAGGAAAAACTTTGTACTTGTCAGGGTGGTTAAACATTGAAATAAATTTCCTGGGGAGGTTGTGAAATCTCCATCACTGGAGATGGTTAAGAGCAGGTTAGACAGACACCTGTCAGGGATGATCTAGATCAGTGTTTCTTAAACTTTTTAAGATCGAGGAACACCGAACAGTAATTTTTTTTTATGAGGAATATCAAGGTTTTTTTTGTTGAGCACACAAAAAAAAAAGGCGCCTGCCCCTTTAAGGGCAGACATATTGAATTCTGTTGTTCTCCGCACACCTCCGACTGCCTCGCAGCACACAAGTGTGCTGTGGAACACAATTTAAGAAACACTGATCTAGATGGTGCTTGGTCCTGCCATGAGGGCAGGGGACTGGACTTGATGCCCTGTTGAGGTCCCTTCCAGTCCTAGTGTTCTATGATTTTATTATTTTTTCCCATTAATTCAGTAGAGCAAATCCTGACTCTTCTACAATCACATCTCTAGCAGTGAAGCAGTTGGTTCAATAGGCAGCCGAAGGGGTTTGATCTGACAGATGCATTTCTTACGACCATATTTTCCAGCCTCCTCCAGGAAGCCGTTTTCCTGCTCGTCTGGTCCCGCAGGACAGCAGCGTGGCCAAGTTCCCAGTTTGCCTTTTGTTTAACAGGAAGTGGAGCTGGTGAAAGGGGCTAGCGAATTCTTGGAAATACAGCCGCTCAGATCCAATCTCTGGGCCCACTCTTGTGCTGAAGCACCTGGGTGCCATGGTGATGAGCACTGGCAGAATGTCTAGAAAAGCATGTTGTTCCTACGTACTGACTGGAGCTTTGGCGGGAAGTCTGTGGTATTTTTTTTACTTAGAGTTAAGGTTGTTAAAAACGGTTAATTAGGTAACCGTGACACAACTTAGTGGTCACGGGCTGTCATCTCTGTAATGTCGAGCTGATACTGAAGTTCCCACAGCACAGCTGACTTCCAGAAGTGGGGCCGACGGTGTGCGCCAGGAGTGGCTCCCAGCTGCTGGCCCCGCTCCCGGGGAGCCGGCAGCACCATGGCTTCTGCAGTATAAGCTTTACATTGCAGAGCTTATAGCCCGAGGCAGCAGTTGGTTTCCCAGAAACTGGTGTGCGACAGAAACTGCCTGTTAAGCCAGCTCCCAAAGTGCACTGGCTCCCACCTGCCACCCTGCTCCCAGGGAGCCGGCAAATAAAAGCGCTCCCAGCCCTGCTCCAAGGAAGTCGACGGCCATCCTGCACGATGTGCTCTGTTATAGAGTCAGCAGCATGGGGCAGTATCCCTGGTAACCAATAAACTCATGCTTATCGGTTACGGTAACTGTTATGGTAACCAATAAACTCATGCTTATCGGTTAATCGTTGAAATGGTTATATCGCTACTTCAAGTAGGGGAATTTAACTTTCTTTTTAAGAAAACCACCACGGACCTTCCTCTACCTTTTGCAGCACATAATCTGTAAGCAAAGATTGGATTTTCTGAAGCTTTATTTCAGTGAAATCTCTATCTTCGTCTGAGGTAAATTTAATTTAAAAAAGGCTCCTCTGAGAGTATTTGAAAATTTGCTTTTTATTTTCATCTCGCTTTTTTTTCGTGCCCTTCTCGTTCACAAATGGCTTGTTACGAACCCGTCAAGCTTCTCGTCGCTGTCAGTCTCATTGATTGGCCTGTGAGAAATAGGCATATTTGAAAAACGAGAGAAAATTATTAATGACAGGATGTGAACAATTGTAATTACTGACAAGCCAAGTACAACTCATCAGGTCATTTGCGAGCAGATATGTTGTGACGTCAAAAGTACTCAATCAGGCATCCGTATTCCCCCCTCGTTAATTTGCGTATCCAATTGAATGAATGGGGAAGGTGTGGCTGTATACATCAGAGTTTTCATTGGTCCATTACTTCATGATCTGTGTCCAGATAGTCAGCACCATGGATTGATGGGAGAGCTCTAGAGATAATCTCACATATATGACATTCTTAGTGTTACACTCACCTCTTGTTAGTTCTCCTTCACGGTGAATGTTTAGACTCCAGTCAAGTGTCTTAATTTACCTGGTGACAATCAACCGCAGGATCCTAAGTTTAGCCACGCGGTTGTGAAAATTGCGGTGGTTTGGTTTTTTACAATCCGTGTGATGGTCAGAAAGGGAAGGCTGGCTGAAAGAACTGGGTTTGAGGAGGGATTTCAGTGAGGTTGTGTGGCATCAGTGCAGGATATATTGCAAGAAGAACGTCTGTTGGCGGAAATGATTCTCTCTTCCATTATGAGCCGGGGTGGGCAAAAGGGCCTCCGTGGGCCGCATCTGGCCCACCAAGCAGGTGGATCCGGCCCGCAGAGGCCCTGCCCCTCCCCCGTTGGGGGGGCGGGGGAGAGCGCAGGAGGCCTCCTCCCACCCTGCCAGGAGCACGTGGTGCTTTGAAGCGCCGCACACTGCTCACAAGGCCGGGGGAAGAGTGGAGGGGACTTCGTGCGTGCTCCCCTGTCCCCAGGCCAATCAGGGCTTCCTTTGCCCTGCCCCGGTCCTGCAAGGAGCCCACGACACTTCAAAGTGCCACATGCTCCTTGTAGGGTGGGAGGAGGCTTCCTGCGCTCTCTGGGCCCTGATTGGCCTGGGGGTGGGGGAGCGTGCCAAGCCTCTTCTAGGGCATGGGTGCCTAGTGTGAAGGGGGGACAAAGGGGCTCCCCCACCCCAGATCAATCATGGTCTGGGGGTGGGCAGCCCCGCCCCTTCCTGTTTAGGCCCCGCCCCTTCCTGCTTAGGCCCCGCCCCTTCCTGTTTAGGCCCTGCCCATTATGGGGTGGCCCAGGGCTACTTAAAAAACTTTTGAAGTGGCCCCCTGGGCAAAAACTATTGCCCACCCTTGATTAAGAAAGAAGTTTCCTCTTTATTTGCAGCTTCATAAGACAAAAGTTTTGGGCCAGAGACCAATTGGAATCTGGAGTTTTACAGCTCTGCAAAGAGAGCTAATAATGTCAAGTGCCTAATACAAAGACTCTTAACTACAAACAGCGCTAAGAGCTGCTGTCATTTTTCTTAGCTTAGCTAAGTGTGTGTAGATTTATTTTTTAATTACACTCGCTATTTGGGCAACCGATTTTGCGTTAATTTGTGGAAAAAATGTTACAAGCGTGGGAATAGTTTATTGCTGTTGAATGTAAATTGTTTTGTTAATTGCTTGTGTGGCTTGCCAGGGCAAAAATCAGTGAATTGAGCCAGTCAAGCAGCTTGCGATGTACTCCAGAGATGTGCGGTCTTGAGTGAAGAAAGAGGATGGAACTTTTCCCAACACCGTTGTGCGAGGTCTGCTTCCTGCCCACCCCCGATGTTTTTACAAAATAGTGAAAGGGGCCTGCCTGGAGGACTTTCTGCAGATGGGGAATTATCAAATGATTTGAATTGCATTTTTAAAGCAAAGGAGAGAAGCTTTCTATAAACAGAATAACTTGCGCTTTTTGTTCCATTTAAAAATGACTAGTTTATTCTTTATATTGGAGTGATGCAGAGAGGCCCCATGCAGGCATCAAGGGTCTTTCCCCCACGCTAGGGATGGCACACACAAGATTGACTTGTTTCTCAAAAAACATCGTCCAAAACCCCAATATTGTGAATAGTAAGTTACACGTGCAGGTCTGGATTTGTACAGTGCTTGGCATAGCAAAGTCCTGGCCCACAGGTACTTAACATTGCAATAACATATCTTGATGGTAACTTCAATAACTTATCTTGATGGCAGAGGGGGAGATCTAGGTTGGATATTAGGAAAAATGATTTCCCTAGGAGGGCGGTGATACACTGGAATGGGTTACAGAAGGGAGGGGGTGGAATCTCCATGCCTAGAGGTGTTTAAGTCCCAGCTTGACAAAGCCCTGGCTGGGATGATTGAGTTGGGATTGGTTCTGCTTTGGGCAGGGAGTTAGACGGGGGCTCTCGGGGTCTCTCCCAACCATAGGATTCTGTGATTATGTTAACAACAATTGGCTTCCCTTTCTGTTACTGACCAAGAGCCCTTACCAGGCCTGCCAAAAGCCTCGCGTATTCACTGATGCGTGTCTCCTCATCAAAGCTTTCTTCTTCTTGTTTCTTTCTAGTGAATTTGCTGGACTCGCGCACAGTCATGGGGGATCTGGGATGGATCGCCTACCCGAAAAACGGGGTAAGTCGCAGAGGTTTGCTTCCTCCGGCTCCGAGCAGCGAGAGTTTCCATTTGGAACGCTGAGTCTGTGCGGAACGTTCCCCAGAGGGAATTGTTAGCAATAGCAGGGGAAAAAAGCAAAACACAACACAACAAACTGTGACTGGAAAGAATGAAGCGGTGTGGTCAGGGGTTGATTTGTTTCTGCAGCAGGGACAGCCTGAAGTGTTCAAATATCATGAGTCACAACCTTCCGCCCCCACTGCCCCAAATCAGGACGTTTTAAAAAAGCGATAAGCTTGGAGTTCTTTTTCATTCTCTTTTTAGAGCCAAGAGGGTGCAGTGGGGTCACATTCCCATGCTTTTCTCTGCCGTCCGGGGGCTAGAAACTTGCTCTTTGTTTTAAATGAAAGCTGAAGGTCTCACATGAATCCAGAAGCTGGCACTAAAAAAAAAAATCCAAATGGTCTTGTGATAAAATGCCAAACATTGTCTTTATTAATGCTTTCCTTATTCAGTAGCTTGTGAGTAGCCCCAGTGAAAGCAGTGGTGGGTTCAGTTCCCACATGGCTTAGGGGATAGGGCACTCACCTAGAAAGGACAGGGTTGGGGGTTCAAGTCTCAGGTTGGGTCAGGAGGGGATGGCCAAAACTGGTTGGCCACAGGGCAGGTGGGATAAGGGAATGTATGTGAGGAATGCAGGGGTGAGGTTTGTTGCGATTCCAACGGGTCTGTCGGCCCCAGACGTGTTCCTTGCAGTGGTGCTGGCTGGGTTTCGGTGAGCGTGGGCCTGTGACTTTTTTTGGGCAGAGAGAATTTGGATAAAGCAACGTGGGGCTCAGTCCTGCACAGTGCTGAGCATTGCTGGGTGGGGTTGGGAACCTCTCCCCCCCTGGCAGGGCTGTTGCTGAGCAGAGCTGATGGGAGGTCAGCATGCTACAGAACCCGGTCTCGGATCAGGAGAGGGGGCCGAAACCCCAGCCCTGGTGTGGTGGACGGCAGCTGTGAATGACCGCAGTGTCGTCTTGGGATCGAATGCCAAATGACAATAATTTATAACACTCGCACCACACACACACACACACACACACGCCTGATTCGGGTTGGCTGCCTGCCAAAATCTAGGGTTGCCAGATGGTTTCGGAAAAAAAAACTGAACAACAACAACAAAAACATGCCAGGAAAAAGCTTGTTGCGAGAAAACAAATAAAACAAAAAACACACCGTGGCCCCTTTAAAAAACCGTGTGGTGAAGCTTTTTGGCCCTAACAGGCGGCCAGCAGCCGTCTGACATCTGACCTCCCTTCGCCAGGCCGGACAGCTCACTGGTAAGCACTAGGGTTGCCAGGCAGCTTCCATATAGAGCTGGACAGCCTGGGATTTTGGCCTCCTGGCTGGGAAAAATCAGGAAGTACTGGCCATTTTAGGTGTCCAGTATTTTCTCAATTTTTTGTACCAGAAAGGAGGAGAAAATATCGGACTTTCTGGGTCAATACTGGGCACCTGGCAACTCTACCAAAATCTGACTCTTCAGGGCTGTCCCTAGTGGGGCCTGGAGTCTGGGGCAACTCCTCACACCCCAGTGCCTCGGTTATAGGGCCCAGGGAAACCCCCCCCCACAGGTCCCATCCTGCTTCACCCCTGTCTCTAAGGTTGGGACGGGGGCCCTCTGCTTCCCGCTGCTGGATGCCTGGAAGAGGGCAGCAGGCCCGAGCGGAGCAGGCTGTCGGGACGCTGTGGCACCCGTCGCTGTGGTGAGTGTGTGTGTGGGGTGCCTCCTGTTACCACCCCGCGCCAGGCCCCCATATATTCCCCTAGGCTGCTTTGGGCCCATCGGTAGGATGGCTGAGGTCGCGCTGGGCCTGCGGCGACCACCCCAAACCCTCTCGAACTGTGCTCGTCTTTTGACTTCAGACACATGAGAGCTTGTGGAGAACGGAGAGTTTTTTCTGTGCTGAACTAGGAGCCTGATCCAGTTTTTCCCCACTGATGTGGGGATCAGACCCTAAAGGCAGGGTTGCCCTTTGAGATGTGCCGGGAGGATTTTGACTGTTGTCCCTGTGCTCTCCCGACATAATCCTGATGTGTCCTGGGCTAATGGTCCCGACCTCCTTTGCAGATTATTTTGCAAAGGAAGAAAAGGGCTTTGGAAGAGCCAAGGAACGTTGTTACGACATGTGTGGGCAGCTTAATGATCACACGCCAGCAGAACAACATATGCAGTGAAGATCAGCTGTCAAAAGCTGGGTGGAGAATGTCCCTTTAGCTGGAATATACTCTGTGATGTGAACCTTTTCTAGCATATTTCTCCCAGCATCATAAAGCGGTGCCGGTTGAGTCTCTCCAGTCAGGATCTGACCGGTGCCGCACTTGAGACTTCACCAAACTTCAGGAGGTCAATATTGTGTAGCAGCATTGCCACACTGCCACTGCTTACTGGGCTTTTAGAAGACATTTAGGTAAATTAGAGTTAAACAACAACATAGAACGCTGAGAGCCAGGACTGGTGGCTGTCACGGGAAACGTGGCCACACCCATGATAAATGGACATCCAGCTAAGGAAAATCCTACCGGACCACGGATGGTGCCAGACCAGAGAGGGCTGGAATAAAGAGGTTCAAACTGAATTTCATTTTCAGAAATACTAAAACACTGTTACGCACATGAGTGTACAAATCATAATAGCCCAAATGTCCTATATATTTGTATGTGCATGTGCTAAGGGAAGCAGGGAAAAGACCAGCTGTTCTAATCACCACTTTCTTGTTCCATTACCAAAAGAAGCTTCATATATTTACAGATTTACTTTCCAGCGAACACCCTTGGTTTAAAAATCAAAAGCTAGAGCCATGAATACCAAATCAACTTGTAATTGAGTCCATAGAAAAGGATTTGTATCTTAAATGAACTTGCCCAAATCAATAAGAAGTGAATCAGGCAGTCAGAATTGGTTTTTGAATTGCCAGAGGTCCCTAAATTTCCTTCATTTTCATGGGGCTTCATAAAAATTCATGAGATGCCATTAGCCCAATTGTCTGTTGGGCCTAATAGATTGGCAGTATTTTTCAAGTGGCGAGAAGTATCTCTCGGATCTACCTCTCCAACTTATTTATCTCCTGGACAATCAGCCAAGCTCCCGTCCCCTCCAGTTCTGTAATATTTCTTTTTTAAAGATCAGACTGGGGTCAATATTTAAAATAGCTCACCTCGAGACACAGATATAAAAGTGGGCGGAGTTTTAATTAAAAAAAAAGAGAGAGAAAGGTGGTCTACTCCTTGGGAAGCCAGGTTTCCTCAAACAAATTTGTTGCTCTAGGACCTCCTTTTAGGGGATGGGTCAGGGGCTGGATACACAAACATTCCTGCAGGAAGTAAAGGAGAAACATTTCTGCATTCAACACTTTCTGTCAGTGGCACTGATTCTGGATGTAATATGGAATCAGCCCTTTGCATTTAATAGCATTCTTCAGTTTCTAATCACGTCAAGTATTTTATAGCTATATTTATTATACTGCTGTTGCAGGGATGTTACTACCGAGGATATAGCATCGAATTAAACTCTTGCTTTCAGGAACTCATACAGTGTTGCTGGTGGTCATGACTTTATCATGAGTCTCATGAATTTTTGCGTTTGGTTAACATTATAGCTGTTAGAATCCAGTGATTGCATGAGAATCCCATCTCTCCTAAAAAAGTATTTGTCTAGTCCTCGTGGTTGCTTAGGGAAGCTTGGAAAAGCCAGCTCAGCTACCAGAAGGCAACTAAAAATAAGACTCTAATTTATTATGTTTTCTTTAAAATAAACTCCTGGGTTTTAAGCTGATCTCATGATTTTGGGCCTGGACATGTAATTTTTTTTTTTTTTTGCCTCTTATGATTTTCTGATTCAGATTGAAATGTTGACATTTATTTTCAGTACAAAGCTGAATATTTTTAGTCAAATACTGTGTAACTGTTGGGTTACCCCAAGAGTGACAAAGGGTAATGTCGATGTCTGAAAGCAATTGGATTCCTAGGGGTCAGTATGGGTAATATTACTGTAGAGGGTGAGAACTGATCTATTGTCATAGCAGTCTCTGTTTTAGTAGGTTGTTTCCAAATATTCCCGCATGGTCTTAATTTAGCTTGCCCTAAATTACCCTACCAGACCCATATCAGTGGTCCCCTAGCAGTCAGGGATGGATTTTATTCTCTGAATAGCCTGGGAGGTAGGAGACTTTTGCCTCCATTTTACAGATGGAGAAAGAGGTTCAGAGTGGATTAAGTGACAAAACCAAGGTTACACAGACAGTCTGTGGCAGAGCTGTGGAATGGGCCCAGCATCTCTAAGCCAGCTCCATTAAAATAGAGTTACACCCCAATTTGGGGGTCCTGGCCCACTGTTTGAGAGCTGCTGTCCTAGACCATCCTTTCTGCCTCTTGCGGCGCTATCTTCTCCTCCTGGTAGCATGGCTCTCTCGCTGTCCCTGGCAGAGTAATGGGCCTATGCCTGTATGAAAGGTGAGGAAGGGGTAAAGTGCAGGAAGTACCCACCCATGACCTGCCATCTGAGCTGGGATCCCGGGGGGCCATCTGCAGAGCGTGGGTTAAAGGGTGCTGCTGCTGCAGATCCACCCTTATGCAACACCTGGCCAAGATTTTTTTCCCTATCGTTACCACCGGCAAAGGAGACGGGGTTCAGAGACACCTGCCGGGCCTCTGGGCAAAGTGGGGGGGAGGGCAGCTCCGTGTGCCAGGAAGGGGCGGGGCCTCAGGCAGAAGGGGCGGGGCCTCAGGCAGAAGGGGTGGGACCAGCACTAGTGCCACCGCTCCAGCTGCGATTTAAAGGGCCCAGAGTTCCGGTCTCTGTGGCAGCAGCAGAATTCCTTTGAATTCCTGGGTCCCGGGGCAATTGGGCTCTTTGCCCCCCTCTCTCCATCCCTTGTCAGCGAGCCGGAGAGGGGACGATCTTTCCTTCAGCTCCTAGGTGCGGTCAGTCTGGTTTCACCGGACTGAAACCAGTGACGTGCTCCAGCTGCGAT